GCTGCGGCAGGGGCGGCTCTCTGTGGGCGTCCGCATCTGGCCCAAGACAAGAGGGGGTCAGTGGCTGGAGGACACGGACGAGGGACGGCAGCGCGACGCACCGCTGAGCACTCCTAGCTGTGCATTCCTGGGAGCCGCCATACCATCCACAAGGGTCTTTTGGGCTTCATGCAGTAGTAGACCATGGTCCCAGGCCACCCACCACAAAGGCTCCCAGAGAGATTTCACTGGGAACCAGCTCAGAAAGGCCTGCTAAGATAAAGCTTGCTGCAGCCATCTCCTCCAGAGCAACCTACATAATTATAAAATAAGCACCTTCCTGTGCAAATTGTACTGTCCTGAAAGTCTGATATATTTCAGTGCAAGGTTCTCCTAGTCCGCGGGTCTGCAAGGAGACCTTCCCTTGTTGTGATCTACCAACTGCTAATGTGGTTCTGATCTTCACTAGAGAGAGATATTTTCCTGGCTTATGTGACCATATTATAACAGGCAGAAACGGAGCGTCACAGCTAGCACGTCTGTCTGAAGGCCATTAGAGAGATCAGGGAGAGCAGGAAATTCAGAGAAATTCCAAATAGCACCAGGACCTGGAAAAGGCTTACAAGCAAATAATGAATTATACTAGAATCATCTCTGCAATATTTGACTGCTTTTCATTGCACTTTGGCAGCTTCTTTTGCCTGGTAAAGTAGAAATCAGCTTCACCATTAGCTCAAATAGAAATTTGTTCTGTGCTTGAAAAAAACAGTGGCATTTTCATTACAATTCTTCTCTTGCAAGTCGAGGACTTCTGAGCTCTTTAGGGAATGAAGTCCAATTTGTTGAACAATTCTGAGGGCTTCTATCCCTGTAGATGACACTGGGGAGTCCTTCACCTTTCAGCCTCATGGATGCACCTGAGTGAGAACTGAGCTGTGGTGGCTTTGGTCTGATCTTTTCTGTGTCCTTAGTGCACGAATGACACAGGGCTCACTAAAATTATTCAGTCTCCTAAATCTCCCCCATCCCTGTAACCAGGCAGGGGAGAGGTACAGTTGCTGCACTGCAGGGCTGGAGTTAAAATATAGAAACCAGCCCTGCCTTTCACTACGCATTGTTCATTTAGCTCTGACAAGTGACATTATCCAACATGCCAGCATTTGGTGACATTTCAGATGTTTCTACGTGGTAAGAGTACTCGGATGCAGCAAACAGATTCAGTGACAGCTTCACTGAGATACAGTGACCCAGATCCTTAAAGATACCTGCAGGTGTCTGGCCGGGTGTTTTTGCTGCTGTCTTGTTGCCTCTCCAGGAGCGCTGTGGTGGGAAAGGGCTGTCACCTGCACCGCAAACCTGCGACACGGAGCGGCGCGGGATGGGGCCACGAGGACAACCTGGAGCCTCCACGGGGTCTGCAGCCTCCTCTAATCCTTGGGACCACCATGAACCACAGAAGCAGTCATATGGGAAGGGGGATGCAACGGTTTCACACAGATTTATAATAATGAAATCCTGGCAATTACACACAGGGTTTTTTCTGTTGAGCAGACCAGGGAGAATCTGTGATGTCTCTATGTCAGAAAAATAAGAGACAGACTATTTTGACTCTGCTAAAAGCATCTTTGGAATGGCAGTAGTATAAATATTGCCGACGGGCGCTTCCAGAGCCACGGGTTTGGCAGCAAACCCTAGAATGATTTACCGGGGTTGAAGAGCAACGCAATCCTTTCAGCCAAAAAAGCCACAGGAGCAAAGAGAAAAAGTCTCTGCGCTGTGAAGACGCCGGGACTTACGTTTTGGCGAGGCGTGGGGGCTGTCGGAAGCGATCTGCCTCATGCGCGTGCCGTGGCAGCTGAGGGCCACCAGCCGGGAGATGATGGCGGTCTTGCCGAAGCCGATGTTGCCCACGATGACGACGCCGCGGTTGACGCTGGCGTTGGCGCTCTGCAGCTGCGCGTCGATCTCGTGGAAAACCCAGTCGCGGCCCACGAACACCGACTCCGTGGTGATGCTGGGCACCTCGAACAGCAGCGGCTTCAGGGAGATGTCGGGCGGGCGGTAAGGGGCGAAGCGCACTGCAAGGAGGCAAGCACAGCGAGGAGGGTGAAGGCCGGTGCTGCAGGAGGAAACGCTGCCAACAAAATCACGATTTGGTCTTTTCATTCAGTCTCCCAAGGCCACGCTGCTGAGCATGCTGTTTGACATTTGTATCCTAGCAGAAGATGGATATAACTGGGCTACACGTGAGCCCAGACAAGACGTGGCCACACGTTGCTCCTACCCCGACGAGCACGAGGGCAGCCGGGTCCCCAGCACACGGCTCCACCTGGATCACTGCGCACTGGCTGTGTCAAAGCAGAACTTCTCAAGTCAGGACTAATGCAAACGGATGGAGCCGCGTTAGGGCACTGACAAGTCGGAGCTGGCGCTGCCTGAGCATCGCTCTACGCGCCGGGCACGGCGTGAAGCCGACGGGGCCGCCAGGGCCAGCCAGGAGCTGCAGATCACCGTGCTCTTCAAACTCCTTCTGCCTCGAAATGAACCATCTCGCAGCAAGCTTCGTACCGGGAAGCAGCCTTGAAAGCTCAACTCAGCCAAAATAGCACATCAACTACAACTGCAGTGGGTTTTATTGACAAGAGAAGGGATTATAACTACGCTATTGCCCCCAGCACGTTGCTGCCAGCACGAGGACCTGCTCCCTTCCCTTCTGACCTGGCCGGTGTGCTGAGCGAGCTGCTCCTGCACCAGACCCTTGGGCCAGGCACCGAATTGCTCTGGGAGAGGCAAAGATGAAGCTACAAACAGCCAAGATCCCCAAATCTTCCCCAAATGGCATTCGTCCCTCCCAGAATTGCTGCTGTATAGCGTGTATTTCTTTCCAAATAGCCTGTATTTCTTTCCAAAAACCAACCCTCTGCCCTTACGATCTACACCAACCGTGCTGCTGCCCTCTCCAACAGTGTGAGCAAGCTCCTAGTGGAGATGGTCCAGAATTCACCCCACACCAACGAAGGACATCCTAGAGCTGGTCTTTGTGCAAGTGGAAGTGAATATCTATATTTATATCTATATATCTTGGCTGTCACATAGGAACGGCATCTGTTCATCTCCAAAGCCCTGGCGAAACCACAATGAAGGGACAGACCTACTTATCTACCAGGATCCAACTTTCCTGCCCATCCAAAGCAATCAGCAACGCTCACCCCTTCTCTCCACGGTGAAGAAACCCCTTCCCTTCTGCCTGTTTGCCAGGAGCGCCCACAATAGGATCAAGATCAAGGGAAACAGTGAGGAAATTTGGGGAGAAACCAGCACCCCGCGAATTGTAAGCCGGTATCTTGCTAGGGTACCAAAAATAAATGTGTGCAATGATATGCAGCGATAGCAAAGCGCAGCCCGAGCCGAGGATTTCCAGCTGGAACAAGGCTGGCGACTGCCCAGCCCCGATCGGAGCGATTTCATGGGAATATTGGAACGCGCAGCGTGCTGCACATTCTGTGATAGAAAAATATTTCCAAATAGTGGCAGTTTGGGGTTTTTTCACCTCCTCTTCTCCTATTTTCACAAACAGCCTCTCTCTGAGAGCCCAAAGCAAGCGCCACAAGGACAAGGAGCTGCCTCCATGCTCAGGAACCTTACTGAAAAAGAAAAGGAATAGGAAAAGGGGGGAAAAAACTCAACAAAACAATCCATGCAGCGCTCCATGGTTGTTAAACGCGTGTCTGGAAAACAATTCGATCCTGTTCCTACAATAAAGTTTCATGTTTTGGATGCAACCACCACAAATTGTGAAGGCTTGGCAAGTGCCTCGCTGCGAACATATGGAAATTGTGTCTGTCAAAGTTTGCATTTCTATAAGCGCCTCGGCAGCCAATGCGATTTCATTACAAACCGCGATCCAAAACGACTCCAAAAAAGAGAAACTTTCTTTTTGCTATTTTGTTTTCTTTCTTTCTTTCTTTCCCCCCAGCATTGCCTTGGGGGCTCTTTACTCTTTGCTATTTCTCCTATAGAAAAGGAAAAGCTCGAAGTTTTCGTCCTCTGTCCAAACCCTACAAAAGCCCTTTGAGGGGAGCAGCGAGGTGAAACCGGGGGATTTTCCGCCGCGGTTCCCGCTCGCGGGGCGGCGCACGGGTCCCCGTGGGAGGACGCGGGGACCTCGAAGGGGGCGTTTTGGCCACAAGGGGACGGGGACGGGTGCGCGGGGCCGGCCCTAGCCAATAGAGTTCATTTCCTTAAAACACGCGCATTTACAACTGCATTAGATAAGCAATTGGCTCGACGACAAGTTCACCCCATGGAAAGATGGAAGCTTTAATTGGAAATAGTATTTCCAATTATAAACAGAAAACTATGGTTATAAACAAGCTAAAAGGCTCTGCAGACCACGAGCTCTGTTTCTGTTCTGCTAATCAGGTCCAAAATCCCCTTTAAACTGCCAATATTCAGCTCTTCAGCATTTTGTTTGGCTCTGATATTACTTTTTTGGATATTTTCATTACTATTCTAATTCTGAAGCATCAAGATGGTCCCAGGCGGGTAAGCAAACACTGAATGAATCCCCTGCAACTTCTAATTCATTCCCTCCCTTAGTATTCGGTCACTTACCGTAACGAGATTATTGCTGTAAATTGAAATAATTAATTAAATGGCTCGTTCAGAGCGCTCCTGCACAGCCCATGCTAATGCCCGGGGCTGCGGAAAGGGCGGTAGTTCAAGGTGGCTCTTGGGGCTCGCAGCCCCCTGGCCCCATCCCGGTATTTACAGGAGTTTGAGGAGGAGGATGGCGAAGGGCAACTTAACCCCTTGGTGTTGGCCAGCATCCCAGAAGGGTGGCAGCAGGAGGGAGAATAAAAGCGAGAGCAGAACCACGACCCAAGGCTGCGTTTCGGTGTCCTTCATGCTCCTCCACTCCTAGAAACTCGATTAGATGCTCGCTGTGAAGCAGCAGATTAAAGCCGAAACGCTGCAATTAGGAAGATGTGGATGGATGGTGGAGGGAAGTTGTTTTTTTGCAAGCACAAAGTCCTCCGCAATCTGCTCTGGGTGGCAGGGGACAGTGCAAGGAGCTTCCACCCACACGGACCTGCGCCACTTGGGTCCCCTGTTTGCAGCGTTAATGCCATATTTATATAAATAATATATTCATAGACATATTTATATCTATGGATGAGTGTATATACGTATCTCCTCATTCTACTCTTTTTTATACACAGAGATATGTATCTCTTTATATCTAACTGTGCAAGAATAAAGAGATCTAGCAATGAGGCATGGGCGCACAGCAGAGACACGTACATGTGTATACGTGTGTATAGGTGCGTATAGGTGCGTATAGGTGTGTACAGGTGTGTACAGGTGTGTACAGGTGTGTACAGGTGTGTACAGGAGCACTCACACTCCGCACGGCTGCTTCCCTGCCCCGAGCCCTGCTCCCGGCCCGTGTAATTCCCGCGGAGCAGCCTCGGCCTCCAGCCCGCCTGGGAACTGAATTGCTTCAGAGCACTCGGTGCCGTTTCCTCTGTTCAAGTAACAACAGCTAAACCCAAAATTTACTTCCTGCCAATTATTCCCCAGTGAAAGATGCAATACTGGCTGAAAATTCATGTTAGTCCTTAGGAGTGAGCAGTGTAATCAATGCCCACATTGTCAAATGTGATTTGTAGCCTCCTATTTCCTTTTCTTCTTTCAAGTGCTCAACACCCTTTTCGAGTAGGTTCGGGTGGATTCATTAACTTTCCAAGCTGGAGTTTGGGCAGAGAGAAAGGAACAGAGCCGGGAAGACGTTCCCTGCGCTCACCCGGAGACTCGGGCCTATCCAAACATGGGAGTCCTTTGGTTTTTACTGCAAATAAAGGGAAATAAGTTAATGGAGCTTGTTCCAGGAGAACAGCCTGCAAAGACCCGGGGCTCCGATGGCTGCAGCTGCGTGGGGCCCTGGCACGCAGGACCAGGGGCAGAAAAATGAGCATTTTTCTAGCTGCTGCAATAACCCAGCAGCTTCCTGGCAGAACAGCCGCCCGTCTCCTGGGGAGAGCAGTTCTGCTGGAATCTTTTTTAAGTATTTAATGAATCTGCATTTTACCCTGTGTCCTGCCTGCAAAGTGGCTTTGAGGAGGTGACGGGAGCCAAGCGCAGACCGTGCGCGCTGCAGACAAGGGCACCACGAGGAGCAAACTCGGCTGCAGCTCGTCTTGCTGCTCAACTTGGCCCGGGGCTCCGGGCACCTGCCAGAACTGAGGAATTGCCCCTCCATTGCAACAGTCAAGGTGTTTCTCCCACCTTCTCCATCTTCATCATCATCTTCTGCACCTACATCCGTCCCTGCACATGCGGTTGGCATGAAATCCTACATCCTGTTTGCATTTCCCCAGGGCTTGTTTTTGCAATGGTCAGTGCAACCGTCCTGCCCTTTTTGAGGTTGGTGAACTGAGATTTAGTGCCGTGATATAAAACTGAGAAATAATTAAAGAGATCCAAGGTCAGCGAGAAGCTAGAAGGGATTTCTTTTTCCCTGAGCCGGTACTTCAGGACTTCAAGAATTATGTAAAACCAATTCATCTGGCAAAATATAATATTAAACCATTGAAAGCTTCCCCTCAATGGCAAAGCTTACCCTGGGTAACAAGGCAAAGTGATTGCAGATAAAGGACAAGGGATAAGAAAATATCCCTCCTCAAAAATACTATTTGCATGCTGCTAATGCAATCCATTTCAAGAAAATGGCTGAGAAATAGATAATTCTGTACCCAAATTCCACATACCCCCAATTCCACCCCCTTTCAGCTTCCATTAATAAATGCTCTTCAGATTTGGTCACAACATTTTTGGCTGGATAGCTGGGCTGACTTCTCAGGAAAGCGTCCAATGAAATCAGGAAAAGAGCAAATTTGGGCTTTTCTCCTAAGTGTCTTCTTGGTTTCATCTCTCTGCTTGGGATGATCGTATGCAGAATTGCACCTAACCAGATGCATTAAAAAAAAATAATAATTTTGCTCCATTGCAACACAGCTCACATTGCAGGGCCCACGGAAAAGTACTGCAGAAGCAAGGCCTCGGTGACAGATCTAATTAGGTTTTTCCCCTGGTGTTGCGGTGTATTTCCTTTAATATCCTATTTCTTCCTAGGCTATTCTGGGCTCACTCCTCCTTCCCTTGGGCAGAGGGAGAGGCAGCTCCGAGGAAGCCTCGGCTGGGAGCAGCTCCCGACCCGTCGCCGTTGGATCCCTCTGGACGGGTTCCGGCTCCTCCGAGGAGAGGGCGGGAAAGGAGGCAGTGAGGACACGGCTCAAAATCACGAAAACCAATTTCGAAGCAGTTTCCTTCCCTTCCATCCCTTGCTCAACACCCCCACCTGACCATGGAGCAAGGGACGGATTTGTTTCCCCCCCTGCAGTCGCATCCCCGTGTCGCAGCGAGGCCCAATCCCGTTTTCCTGCCCGCAGGGGAATGTTCCTGTTCCTCTTGCCGGGCCCGTGCTGCAGACGGGATGCGGATGCTCCTGCGCACGGTGTCTCTCCAAGGGACGTCATTCGGCTGCGCTGCTGCAAGCCCTGCCCTCTGCTTGCCAAGGGGCCAGGAATTTAACACAGCCCCTGGCCCAACACGGCTGGTTATTTTACGTTTTGCAAGGGGAAAGCAAGAGGGGAGCTGGTATTTGTTATGAACATTTCCATTCTCTATTAACATTTAAACAGATATTATAAAACCATGTATGTGGTCTCAACAAGGCAGGATTTCATGTTTCATTTCAGGGGTTACAGAATAAGCTCATTGTACGGGATGTCCCTCAAGACATTCAGCATCATTCAGAAACCCGAGTGCCCCGCTCCAGTGCCAAGCAGCTTCTCATCATTAACAGAAAAAAATGGTCAAGGATATAAAAAGGATTATTGTGCATATTTGCCCGGGATGCGGTAAGAGGAAAATACAGCCGAAACTTTCAGTTTCTGGGAACAATAAAACAGCAACTGACTGGATTCATACGGTCCCCATTATAAAACGGAGTTTTTAAAAGTTATTAGAAGAGCAGGGATTATTTTAATAGGGGTTGTTCTAAGAGCAGGGATTATTTTAATAGGGGTTGTTCTCGGACCACAGCCCCTCAGGAGCAGAGAGCTGCTCCCTGCAGCCCTCTCACTTCCCACCCTGTAGCTGCAGGCACAAAATCCCCCCGGAGGGGGAAAACGCTGCAAGGCAGAGAAGGAAACACTTTTCTGCCCCTTTCCCTTTAAATTGCTTATTGCCTTCGCGAAAGCATCATCCAAATGAGCGGAGCAGAGGTAAACAGGATAAAAAAAGGGGATAAAGGGATTCCAGCAAGTCTCTCCCCTGTTTTTTTGCTGTTGCTTTTCCTTTTTTTTTTTCCTCCTCTCTTTTTTAATGTAAAAAGCTTCCAGATTCTGGATTTCCACTACAACTAGTGATTATCGAATTATGTTTTGTGAATGTCACGCAGCAAGGAAAGTTGCTGCTAATTCTAGAAGAATTAAGCAAAAGGCCACACTCCTAGAGGTAATACAGGCTTGCAAATGCTCCCTGACTTGACTTGCTAAAAAAGGAAGGGATTTTTCCTAATTAGAAGCAGGAAACTTTTGCATTTGCCTTTTATTTAAACACCCCAAAACCCACAATAATTTAATACAGTGCCAGCATATAATAGAGCTCAATTGAAGTAAAGCATTTTAGTGGATTTGTGATATAGCACCAAGGTATTTGTTAATAGAAAATACAATCACCTCCCATGCACGAGCAATTCAAGATGCTACTTTAAAATCAGTAACTGCTAATGGGACCATCTTATCTATAACCAGTGCCGCTCCTGGGGCGATTACGCTCTTCATTTTACATCATTAAGGCTTGACTTGACCAAAATTTCATGCATTTTCCACTAAGTGCAGCTAAAAGGCAGCAGGACTACACTTCATTTGTACAACTCTTCCCTCATAATATGACCATTATGTAAATAAAGGTGTCTCAGATGACCGAAGTCAGCAAGATGTGCAGAAATTGCTGCAATACAGAGTCTTACGAGGGGCTTAATTACAGTGCTGTAACGGGCATTACCCACGCGGTGAGTTCAAAGCAAAGCTCCAAAGGTTAAAGGAGTTGGGGCTTCCCAAACAAAGTGAGTATAAGCATTTAATTTAGGCAAAAACATTGCATTTCCCCTTTATTTTCATACACAGCATGGGTAAGCCGCTATGCTAAAGCCACCTGGAATCGAAAACCATGTAAAACTTTGGGAAAAAAAAACCGTGTAAAACTTTGGGAAAAGTATAAGCTGTTTGGCACATTCAATGGTGGTGATCACAGAAAAGAGATTTCTCTTTGGATAACGGGAACGTGAACCAGGCTGTGACACGGAGGCGCCGGTCTCAGCCCGGCCCAACACGCAGCTCTTACCTGCTACGGAATTGGGCCGCGGCATCAGGTAGAGCGGGATGGACTGCACTGACTGGGACAGGATGGTCTCCAGGTTCCTCTCGGGGATCTTGTTGAGGCTGTAGGTGGAGGCCGTCATGTTCTCGTCCACGCGGTACAGGCACGAGTCCATGCTGGACTTCTGCGACTGCCACGGCTTCAGGTTTCCTCCCGAGCCCAGCTCCTTGCTGCTCTCTCCTCCGTATTTTGTGCGCTCCACGTTTTCGGAGTAGCTTGTCAAAGTCGCTGGAAGGAGGAAATTATAAATAAAATGAGCAACCAAGGGAGAATTGCCGGTGGCCATGCCCATAGGCGAGGCAAGAGCCCAACATGATGCTCATCAGATCTCCCACATCCACTTGTATCAAAGATGATGGGATTCAGTCAAATGATACTGCTTCTATTTACTACTTCTTAAACACCATCTAGCCATAAGGTCTGGGCTCCTACTATTAAAAGCCATCCACGGATGCAAAGAGTATTAAAGATTAGGCACAACTGTATCCAAATAGAGCAGCACACAAAGAGCAGACGTGGGTAAGGAAGGAACGTCACCAGGGCTCCTTGCATCTGCTCATTTGTGTTGGAGCCTTGCAGGGACTGTTCTCAGAGACAGGTTGATAAACTTGTTAATTTTTGCAGCTTTAAATATAGCCCACACGTTTTTCCTTGTATTACTTCATTTTAGAAATAAAAACTGCTGCTCTATAAACTTTCAAAATGGTAACTGATAATATTAGACTAATTTTGACCCCAAACATCTCCTCTCAGTTGGGATTTGTTGCCTTTAATTCTGATTTAGCTGTTCCCCAGCCCTAACCCCTTTCAGACTCACAAGCATCCTCAAGTCTTTACTTTCCCCATGCTCACCCAAGGCCCTAACCAAACCCTCCACATACTCAGACGTGAGGAAAGACTTTTTGGATGCAAAGAGTTTCAGACGAAGCTCTGGTTCGGATGAAGCCCATGGATAAACACCTGCAGAATACTCCCATTCCCACAAGGCACATTCCGACATTTTCCCAAGAGCAGAGTCACAGAGGGTACTCGGGGACAGGGTCTGTGTCCAGGTGATTCGGGTGTCTGAGCACACACAGCCACAGGTGTTTGTCCCTGCAGGATTAACCGGGTTTGACAGGAATAGTCTCCCTAGACAGTTGTGCGAGGACCGAGGACCATCCTTTGGGATGGATCCCAGCGCATCCCAGCTCCGGCCTCGGGAAGCAGCAGCAGCTGGAAACGCTCCCTGCTGGGGGCTACCTCAAACCTCCTTCCCTTGGCCACGGGGGCCCGGGCGGCCACCGAACTGTTGGCGTCTCCATCCTCGTGGCCTTGAGGACGACAACCACGGAGCGGGCGCAAGGGAAGGACGAACCCAGCTCAGGTGCATCGCACACAGCAGCAAACCCAGGGAGCAGATGAGCTCGGAGGAGGCTCTGCAAGCTCCACTCCTCCACCTCGGGCCTCCTCCCAGTTTTAGACCTAATTTACGGGTCTGCAAGACCTGGCTTAAACGGCCCACACGCTCCTGCTCTCCGTGGCTCTCCCACGCAGCCTGGTTTTGGAGGACTGCTGTTGGCCAGGGAAGCTCTGGCCGGGGGGCAAGGAGAACGGAGAAGGACGCGTGACACCGCAATGCATTTTTCCCAGAATCCATTAACCTACTTTGGTACGCGGCTCAGAATAGCTTATGCATTTGCATTTGAAAGATCACGCAGGCACGAGTGCAACAAAGGTTTCCGTGGCACGCGGGAGCTGAAGCTGAGCCCAAATTTCCTGATCAGCCAAGCAAAATATTAATCATTAACACAACTAACTTTCCTAAACTGTCAGCCTTCCCATTTTCACTACAGAAACTGTTGGCAAAGTAGCATCTTCCCATCCAGGCAAATATTGAACACTAAAAACACGGAAAGGACAACCAGCCAGCGCCAACCTGCCTGAACTTCCATAGCAATTACTCCTCTTCCACTGGGCCTCTACAGTTATTGAACACAGATTAACCTGCACATGTTTCCTCAAGATCTTTTCCACAAAATCTCTCTTCAAATCTATAGATTACGCTGGCGAACCACCAGAATCCATCAAAATCTGTTCTGCTGTAACTCTGCTCCTGCCCACTGTGAAGAGAACTATTTTGGGGACAAAGTCATGGGTGCAGGTGACAGTCACAGGGCATGAAAAGGCCCAAACTGCAGGTGTTATGGCCAACCTTTCTGTCCAGGAGCAAACACGTGCGTTAGCTCCAGCACACCCCGCTAGCCCTGGGGTAGCTGTATGCGGGGCCGGGCTACTCACCGATGATGCCGCTGTCGCGGCTCTCGAGCGTGGACGTGGGGCTGGTGACGGCGCCATAGCTGCAGTCCTTGGCGGTGACGCTGGTGCTGACGGGCGGCAGCGTGGAGCAGGGGCTGCTGGCGGGCGGCGAGGCCGTGCTGCTGGTCAGCGTGGAGCAGGGGCTGATCCGCTGCGTCACGGCCGGGCCCTGCGGGGACACGTCACCGCGGGGACACGTCACCGCAGCCACCCCAGCTGCGCGCCGCGGGGACCGGCTTGCGCGGGGGGCGGCGTCCAAACCAACAGGAAACCCGGAAAACAAATAAAGCAGCGCGACCCGCAAGCCTCCGAGCATTAAGGCAAAATTTTAGTGTTTTCTTACCAGCGAACGGGAAGTAAAAAGCAAATAAACAAAATGCACAATGCAGGGAGGCAAGTGTGTGGCAGCGGCCGGGTGGAGAAGCTCCGGGGACGGTCAGTCCTCGGCGTGATGTCACCTTCGCTCGTCCCATACAGGAAATCCTACAGGGACCTCGGTGCCACGGGCATCCGGCCGGAAAGCCCCGGAGGGCCGTGAGCTTGGCTGGGCCCTGCCAAGTGTTCCTGCCATTCCACAAATCCACAATGGTTTCACACCCGTGCGGAAAGGAAGCAGGAGATGCCGTGCCGAGATACGGGACGGAACGGCCTTCCCTGCCCGAGAAAGTCTCGGGAAAAAGGAACGAGCGAAAAGCAGCAGGAAAAGAGACCGGGATTTTAAAAGTTAGTTTGGAAAGAAGCCGTAAGAAACCGCGGAGAAGAATCCGAGGGGCCTTTCCAGGTGGATAAACGGCTGACGGGGGAGTGAAGAGCACGGAGCCAAGCTCTTCCCAATGACTGCACCAGAAGCTGAAATAAAGGAAATTCCATTTAAACAGAATGAGAAAGGTTCTTCCTGGGGGGGCGGGATGGTCAAACGCTGGATGCTCCGAGTGCTCCCGGAGGCTCCGTCCTCGGAGACGCTCAAATCCCGCGTGGACCAGCTGGTCCCAGCGGCCCTGGGCAGCCCTGGCCACGCTGCTCTCGCACGGCTGCCAGCCCGGAACGATCCCACAGCTCCCAAAAGGGTCCTCAGCTCTCACGGAGGAGCCAGCAAAACGGCAGCGCTACCACTGTCATTAATTCTTCAGACCTTGGTTTTTCCACGCTCTTGTTTCAAGCG